TGGCGAAGATCAAATGATTGCGCAAGTTCCTCGTGAAAACAGTTTTAGATTTAATCGTAAGCTTCCAGGATTAAACATTTATTTAACTAATCTATTAAAGCTTCGGATTTAATCTCCAATAGTGATAAATTAGAAGTATTAAAAAAAAAAACAATCATATTTTAAAATTAGAATTGACGTGGAAAGATATATAATACAATTTACATTTTTTTTCTTAACTTAATTACAACTTATTAAATATTAGTATAATATTTTATTAATCAATATTTATATAATAATTTAATATAATAATTAATTTTATTATTATATTAATTATTATAATAATTTTCATCCAATAACATAAAATATTATTCATTGTCCCAATAAAAAAATTGCATATATTAACAATAAATGCTAATGTAAATAAGATGTATAACTATGTTAATTAAGAGACTTATTGTAATGCATAAATATATGTGAACGAACAAATGTTTCCAAAATGTCTAACATAAAATTTATTGATATTCATTCATACATACACAAGTATTATATTAGTTTTAAACAATTTCCTTTTAATTCTTCACTTTCATAGAAAACTTATTGTTCTCCTCAAATTTAATACCACAAAAGTCAACAACTAATATTTCAAGAAAACTTATTTTCGTCAAAATTTCTAGCAATTGACATTAATTCTCTAAGATTAATTAATATTAATTCTTCTAAAACTTATTAATATTAATTCTACCAATATACTTGAGAAAGTCAAAAAACGATCAACGTAGGAACAGATTCAGCCAAGATTATTTAACATTATCAATTAATATCAAGAATTAATTTTAAGGAAAACTTGTTTTCGTTCGAACTGATTTCTAGCAGTCAATATTGGATTAGATTAGATTAGATTAGAACCGTATCGTTTGCCACATCAATTAACTTCATAAAAAAGAGAGATAGAGAAATTTTTGAAATACTCTTCTTCTTAAATTCATAATTAAACTACATGAAATAGTGTATCATTAGAATAATCATATTGATTTTGATCATCTTTGTCATTTAACGATGCTAAGTCTCTAATTACTGAGAAAATTTATTTCAAACATAAAATGTTGAGCATCAATCGCCAAAGTGATAAAAAAAAGAATCCACAAAGTGGAATTTACTTTGATCTATACGTGAATGGTTCACGTATCAAAGAGAAAGTTCATACGATCAACGTAGGAATAGATTCTAAGACGCCTATTTCAATTGGAATTCTTGACTTTCGCTCAATTGACTCTAATTGCAAGTCACTTGATTCGACTCAATGCGATAATAAAAAAAAAAAAAAAAAAAAAAAAAATAAAACACAAGAGTACAACGCAATCATGAAATATTTCTATTTTTGCAATTATTATATTTACCATACATTTCACTGTTATCTAGCATTTTTACATCCAGTGTCGGAGAATTAACTTGAAAATAAATATGATAAAAATTTTGATACTTTCTCCAGTGTCGGAGAATTAACTTGAAAATAGATATGATAAAGATTTTGATACTTGTCTGTTCGCAATCAACTGTGCGCGGATTGAAGCATAACTTGGGGGATGTTGTTGCGATAAACAGCTATTCGATTTGATCGCGGGCTGTTCGTAGACTTCGTCATCGTCGTAAAAGCCGGTCGACGATGAAACGTCACTTTATATAAAAAGTTGGGTGCATCCGTTCGCAAGGATAAAATTGGACGAGAGCAAAGAAACGATCGTCCAATATTTATCTTTTACAAGCAACTTGCTCGCCACAATTCATCGGTCGGAACGTTGGTTGATGAAGCGACATTCGTCGGAATATCTTCCTCGTTTATTGAAACGGGAAATACTAAACGAAGGTCTTATTTCTTCTATTATCACTGAGTATTTATTTCTTTTCTCTTTTCTCACTTATTTGTGGATACAAAATAAGTCAGGTAATGTTAAGCGAGAGAGAGGTGAAAGTAAAGTGAAATTTAATTATTTGTCGTAGATTGTGACGTGTGAGTTACGATATGCAAGAAATATGAAAAATGATATAATAAAGAGGAATTATTTTTTAAAAAGGAAGTTTGTTGGTGCTGGAATTTGTTCGATTTTATCACGAATAAATTCAAACGATGAGGTTAAAATTATTAAATAAAATTGAATTAAGGTTACTAATAGAAATTAAAAATTAAAATATTAAGCTGTAAAGTAGAAATTAAATATTATACAATTCTAATAATATTACATATCCCGACCAATTCATTTAATAGAATATAAAATGAAATTAAATCTAGGTTTTCGTGTATTAACAGTAAAATGAATGTACAATTAACAGAAATCTTGATTATCGTCGTAACTTTATTTCTTTTTAACGAGAATTTCTAAGGTAATGGATTCTGCGTAAGTGTGATATTTACGCGATAAGACTGAAGGAAAAATTTATAGGTGCTAAGATTTTAAGCTATCAAAATATAGTGTGTGCTCTGGTCGAAACATCATGCCCTGAACATTCATAAAAAAAATTATAATTGTATTTAAACTACGTTCATAATTCTTTCAATAAAATTATTTTCCTAAATTATTTTACTAAATTATTTAAAATTATTCTACTAAATTATTTTGGTAAAATGAATTTTCAGATCGATGGAAAAATAAATGTCGATCTGATAATTACCATTTTTTTCTGTTTTCACAATATTATCTAAATGAAAAGAAGAAAATATCAGGTGAGTGTAAAAATACGTATTTTAAATACAGTATTTTTCCTAACCGAAAATTTTATCATCTATCATTTAGAGCTTTTAGTATTTCAAAAAGACGATCTTCAATGTTCAACGAATAAATTATTATAATAAGGAACCTAGTCGATTTTGTCTATAATACTAAGTGGAAAGTAAGCACGTTTGTACTTAGCAAGATTAACTGAAGATTAACTTCTTCGAAAGTTAGAACACTAAATTAATGGGATATTAGGTTTTATTACATGTTAATTATATCCCAGAAACTAAGCTAAGTAACGATGTACAGGAAGAAGTTGTTCAAAGTAATATACTTCGATAAGATATTTGAAAGTTATTGAAAGTGCCATGAAACCATATTATTTACTTCATCATGCCAACAAATTTATCACCAGAATTCTGTTTTGCCAAGGATTTCTTAGTGCTACATTTTCTTGGTGAAAACAAATGTTTATTGTTTTATTTTCTGTGAAAGATACTCTGACAGATTCATTTGAATTTGATGCAATTGATGGATGTAACAATGTAATTAAAATATAATTAATCGGTAATAATTTACATTAGGAGAAGCTGCTGCGATGATCTTGGCCTCGACGTATGTTGTCAAGCACGTTCTTAACAAGCTTAAAAAAAGTTTTAGCTGTCGCTCATTATTATTGAAAATAGAATAACATCAATTTCTCGATAAAATTGATAAATATTGTAATTTGTCATTCAAGGCGAGATTTGTTTAAAACTTCAACGAATGGGCGGCACCATTCTATAGTAACAGCAACTTTAAATTAATTTTAAATCTTTGAGATCCTGAATTTAATTCAAAAATAATAAGTCATAAAAATATAAATAATAGATCATAATTCATGGATATTTACCATTTATGATAATCAACCATTTCAATGAGCCATAATTTCGAAAAACTTATCGCTACGATCGCGAACAATATTTCTATTACTCGGTTAAATAATATGGATGATATATTTCATGAGTAGCAAAACAGATATTCACTTGGAAAATGTTCTTATAATTTTTAATAATTAGCAACTTCTAATAACTACACAACGACTGAGACCTCTTAACTCAGAAAAGCGTCCTTGGCAATATATGTCAAGGTCAAATCCCTTCTTAAGGGTTGGGGATAACTCAGTCAGTAGAGCGTGAGACTCTTAATCTGAAGGTCCCAGGATTCGAGCCCTTTTTTCGGGTGAAAAAAAAAAGACTGTCCTTTAGGACAACAGAATGGGAGAGTTCTGTGTGTATAAAAAGGTCCCGGAACTCTCCCAACGTGCGGAGGACGACCACGTGGAGGTTTTAGTCCCTTAAAAGATTTCCTCCACGTAAAAAGAAAGAAAAAGAAAAGGTGAAACCCCTTCTTAATAATTATTAACCAGTTTTGAAAATATCTCAGATCACGTGACAATTTTACTCTCTTTCGTATAATCCATTCTATTGTACTTTTTATTCTACTTTCTACTGATTTCAAATTCTGTTTTCGTATTTTGTTGACGACAGTGAACGATCATTCATCTGAAAGCCACTGAAAATACATCAAAGCGCGTAACGAAGATTAAAGAAATTTGAAGAACTTTCTAAAACAAAGAAACGAAAGTATAACTGTCATTGATGAATTTATTGCAATGGAATATTTATGATTGAATAATACCACTTTACATAACCTATGTTTTCCGGCATTTAGTAACACTTTTCTACCACATTGCTACTTCACGATAAGATAACAGAAAGTATACATAGCAGAGTTATGCAATGCCATTATACTCAATCGACGTCTGCACCTTTTGTGTACTAGAATATGGAGTATGAATCAGAAATTACTGTCCTACTTCAAAGAGATGGTTTCTGTATTTAATAAAATGTCAATAGATATTAATTGTCAGTTAATCAACGAAAGGGGGAGAAACTAGTCGATACTAACGTGTATTAACATTCAATCAACAAATCACCGTAGAAACTGGGTTTCTCTCTTCCATTATTACATGCATGATATTTTACTCTCGATGCCAAGTTCACTATTATATCATCGCAATTTCAAACTATAATTCTAATCGTTTGAACGTGTAAAACTCTGAAATAATCTCTCTTCAAATTGCTTTAACGAAAGAGATGTAGAGAAATATATACATACGAAATAATAACAACAACAATGATAATAACGTAACAAAATTTCCCTCTGTACTTTCATTTATCATATCAATGGCAATTGCTAGTAAATCTCTGAACGAGCCTTAAACCTGCAACGTCGGCCAAGGTTGAATCACTCTGACTGAACACGCGCAATAATCATAAAAATCGGTACGCTGTCTGAATATCGCTGTTTATGATCGATTGTTCGCGAGTTAATCAGATTGTTAAGTCACAATCCCCCACCACACTCATGCTCGCTGTGGTTCACTGTAGTAAGTCGGGAGGCATCGGCCTCGTTTAATACAACAGTGACAGTGAGTTAGCGGCTCAGTTAGAATCGTGACCGGTAGAAAGTTGCCTTCATTTGAGGATGGCGTCTGAGAATACCGTGATACGCGTGAAGCAAGGCCGATTACGTGGCACTGCCGAGAAGACCAGCTACGGTGACGAGTATCTGGCATTTCGTGGTATCCCGTACGCGAAACCACCGCTAGGCCCCCTTCGATTTAAGGTGATTTTCACGATTTCATTACACTCGAAGCCGATTACCACCAAGTTCTAAGAATTTCTAAGAAACTCTTTCATCTCTCGTCATCCTTCGTTTGTCCATGAAAAAAAAAAAAGAAAAAAAAAATCAGTAACAGCGTTTACAAATTTGCAAAACGAGTTTTTATAAACTCCATTTTTTAACTCCATTTAGACGTGAATTTTATGGAAACATTTGCTTCTTTCTTTGGATAAAATTTGTACGCAAAGCCATCGCTAGCGATTGAGTGGCGAACGATTGTTCAAAACGATACTGTAAAATTCCATTGCGTGTCTAATCATTGACTGCAGAATGCAGAATCACGATTCTGCTCGTCTTGGTCTTATTTCTCTTCCATTTGACGGCGAAAATTAGATGTGAATATTTTATGTCTTAATTCGGTGGGAAAAGAGGTAATATTTAAGTAAAGAAAAAATAGAAATTCTTTTAGACTCTACAAGTCCAGATTCATTTGATGATAATCTTGTTGAAAAGTATTGGAACATTTTTCATACATTCACGGGAAAATACAAAAATGCATAGAATGCAAGGATATATAAGATATCCAAAATAGAATATTCATTATGATATTTAAGTCTCATTTCTTTAGTAATGTCCGTAGAAATATAAAAATGCACAAAAATCACAGTCTAATATTTATTGGTATTAGACAACAGGATCTTCAAATCGAATTTTATAATGCAGTCATTAATATGTCAACACTTTATGAATTGTTTGTTATACAGAGTTAGATTATTATTTAATTTTCTCAGTTTTGAAACAAACAAATATAGCGCTTGTACTAAGACTTCTGATATACAGGTTTTTTTTTTCCACGAAACATTATCAACTTTATTTTATTCTATAATGAGAAATAAGAAATAGACCCTTAAATGCTTTGTTAAAAAGTTGTAACGAAAATTCAAAATTACTATTATTATTATTAAAATAGATATCAGTATCTTCAATACTAACATCTTATCTATAGAGATATCATTGTTTTATTAAAAATTAATAAATTTGTCCAAACCATTGGACGATATAATATACATATATAATTGGACAAGATATAATTTACTAAAGATATCAGATTTGATCGGTAACGAGGGAATATTTGAAAAAAACATGGTTAAAATAAAAGGTAATTATGGAGTAAATTGGTCGATATATTAATATGCTGTGACACAAGCACACTCTGCACATAATCAATACAATTCGGAATGATAGAACAAAGAATACTTATCATTTTCAATAGATCAAGTCAGTGGTCAGGGTTAAATTTGCGATTAAATGTATTGACGTTTGATTTTACTTTGAAATTGATCAAACTATACAATAATGAGGCAAGGTATGAATATTTCTATCGACAACGCAATTCAAAGTTTTATATAATATCTTCTATCAACAACGAAGTTTTCAGTAATAGGCAATATAAATATATATGTAGTTAGATAAGAAATATAAAATATTGAACGATAATTGACATAATCAATTAGTACTATTGGAACTACTTATTTATAGATATTCGTTATTATTCACTGCGGTAAGATTTTATAAATCATGTATTAGTGTCCGCAGTTTCAAAAGCAACATGCAAAAACATGCTCGAGTAAATATTCTGTCAGATCCCACAGCAATGAATAAATTTAGATTAACAAATTTCCTTGTTAATCTGTCGTCTCGGCTTAACAGGGTCATTCTATTCGGACCCTTCGCCAAAGAAATTGCTACTAATTACTAAAGGAACCCCTTTAACTCTAAATCCTGCGTATGCTACACAGCAGCCCGTTTTTATTACAACGTCTTTTATTCCCAAGATGAGATTCATACACTTGATATACAATGAGAATATTTTTCTTTGAATTCATTAATTTTCCAGCAGTATGTTATCGACACTGGCGTTATGCAAATTATGCAAATTCGCGTATTTTTTTATTCATATTTATTTAAATCAAACTGGCGAGATACTGATGTACAGGTTAAACATTAAACATCGTGGGTACGTATTTCAGATTCGTTTGTCATAATTTGTTATAAAATAAATTGATGTCGTTTGGCAACGGTTGAATTACAAACAATATGTATTTTAAAATAAACGAATAAATTTTCGTTTTTCTTAACGTAAGACGAAATGTTATAAATTTTCTATAAATGAAATTCATTTAAAAGTATTATTATAATTTTTGCTTGTGTTAAGAATTTATGCACACAGCGTGTAATTCACATCTGCACTCTGCGATCAATCTCCGTTAGTTTTGAAGACAGTTTTTGAAAAAACTTTGTTGACGAAAATTGTTTAGGAGAGGCAATAAATTTTTTTCATTTGTAACTTCATTTTCAAGAAAATAGGCTGAGCATGTTTCGTCAAGAATTGCCTTGGTATACGTGTATTTGATAAATTTACTAACTCGATTTTCTCGAAAACGAAGCATCTTAGAAAAAAGTTTTATTCCACATTTCTTATTTTCACACGTAGAATAATCTCCTATTTGTTATTCTTTTCCGTCTGGAATTAGCTAAATATCAAGCATACCTGATAAAATTTTCAAACTCAATTTTCTAGAGAACGAAACGTCATATGAGAAAATTTTATTCTCTCCTTTTTTCGACTTATTTTTAAACGTAGTCTCGCACTTTGGTCGATCGTATCACGATCTCGTGAAACACCCTATATATACTATATTTTACACTACATTTTTATGCAACAGTCACACTTAGACGCACAATGTATATTTGAGAATACAATCAAATCTTGATCAGATAACCAAAGCACACTAGCTTTTTTTTTTTATTCTATTCTTATTTGCATAGTAAGAGATAAGAAACAGGGATAACAAAATTTGTGACATCGTATATCGGAAATTTGGCATTAACTGGTTCGCATAAACGACGTTTCCTTGTAATTTGCATAGAGATTGTATATTGTTGCTCGTGTCACTTGCGAGAAATGTTAATAACAGCGAATTTCCAACAAAAATTATTACCCGTCGAAATTTTTTTACTGTGTAATAATTTCTCGCGTGACGAGGTTAATAATGCTTGCTGATTGATGATTTAAAGCTGGACAAAGTCCATGGATTTTCAAACAGAATGCAAAGATAAGCATGTTGAATAACAAGGTCCCTTCTATCTGTGTAAACGATCTTTTCCAATTGTCGGAGAGATCGTGCTTCCTTCGAATGTCAAACTGTTTCTTCAAACGATAGCCTATCTAAACGATTTCTACCTGTTATCGCTTCTTGAGTTCCAAGGTGAAAGCTTGAACTCTGTTAAATTCTGTTTAAATATTTTCGGAAACTTTCTTCGACTGATTACCACGCGAAATTCGCACGGATGTAACCATATGCTCGGTTCGAATTGTTCGTAAACTGTTCGCATGCTATTCTGAAGCTCGTGTTATTTGTTTGATTTATTTATGATATTCGAATTTTAATTTAACCTTTGTACTTGCTATAAAAGTTGCACAATTCGAGGAGAAAGACACGTTTTTATTTCTATAGTTTTACCAATTGAAACTGATGGTTACTAAAAATTATAAGCACAAATTATAAGTTCTTTTCTTCCAAATTTGATTGACAAAAATCTGCCAAAAATCTTCGAAAATAAAAGTGCAACGTATTAGCGTTTATTTAACTTTTACTATTCGTTCAATTTTAAGTTGCGATAATTATTTCGTATGAAATATATGAATGATCACTCTGATTAATTTAAGATCCATATTCAATTGGATCTGACAATCGGATCACGAATTTCAATTGCACGTTTATTAAATAATAAATCGTAGAAGTCAACATCATTCCCTTTTTGCGTCACACGCGATATAGTAATTGCATAAAGCAAGTATTAGATCATTAAAAGCTAATAAAAAAGTATCCTTGCATACCTTGTTGAGCAAACATATTTGCTTAAAAGTAAGACCAAGGTGGAAAATAAACACATTCTTATGTAATAACATTGTTATAACAAGGCTCATACATCTATACATTTTTTGACTTTGGTTGAATCTTTGCACCATAATGTGAGAATTTTTACAATTGAGAAGATTGTTATTGGAAAAGCTGTTCTCATTTCGTAAACAACAGATTTTTAGAAAAGCGTGGATTATGTTGTGTTTATTGTAACAATATGTACCAACAAACATTTCATATCAAGCTAACACGATTCATCCCACGAAATTCTTGCACAAGATGAACTTTGCAATAATTTGTAATGATACAGACCTTGATTATGCTTCTCACGAGAGTGATCACTCGTGGAATTTCTATTTGAGCCACTCTCCGCAAGATAGGCATTGTAAAATATAATAGTTCGTTTTATATCAATTAGAACACTGAGAAAAACGTCGTTTCTATTATATGAAGTCAATAACGTAAATGTAGAAAAGCGATTACGAGGCTAATTTAAATAACAAAAAGGAGAGAAGAAAAAAGAAGCGAGAAAGAAATAAATGGTGGATCAACGACATGCTATTTTCCCTGCATTTAATTGCAAAATATATAAATTATATTAGAAATGAAGTGAAATCGAGAACTAATGAAATTCTAACTCATTTTTCCCCCGCAGGAAAATAATAATAAATTTCTCTACGTAGAATATGATCCAATGAAACAAAATTGTGATGAAATTTCAGGAAATAGAGAAAATCTTTTATGGTTTTTTTTTTTTTTTTATCACAGAATTTATTACTCACTTCGCGTCGTTATTATTTATACGTTACGTTTCCAAGATATTTTGGTAATTTGTTTAGTTAAGAATCTCCTTTTTCTAGAATAATCTCGTTTCTTCGATAATCTATCTTTTCACGAAATTCAGCTTCCGATTATGAACAGTGAAATACGTGAAAATTCTCACTGATACTTTTGTTATTTGTTTTGCACGTTACGTGTAACATATTACGTATATCGTCAGGGAGTTTTCCAAATTCCTACGGATATTCAATAAAATAATATATGAAATATCCTCTCTGACACGTGAGACTTTCGTCTCCCTTCGATCGTCCCGCGCTTGAAACGAATTTCCTTTCTTCTTTCGCGAAAGAATTCCACAAATTCTATTCCGAATTTTTCATCGAAATCTCAGATTTCTACCAACATTTCGATAAATTCTTATCAACATTCCATTAAAATTTCCTCTGCCACGTGTATGCTCCTCGACACTGTAAAATTCATCTCGTAACACGATTGAAGAAATATCTGAAATTCCCCTATCATCCTCTCTTCCTTTCCAGACTTAAATTTCCGTCGTGCTTTCTTTCTCTCTCTACTAGGATCCGGAACCCGTAGAACCATGGACAGACGTGAGAGACGCCACAGAGTACAGCGATATTTCCGCCCAGAACAACATATTATCGCATCAATTGCGCGGAAGTGACGACTGCCTCTACTTGAACGTGTACAAACCGATAACGCACCAAGCCTCGAGGATGTCGGTGATGGTGTGGATTCATGGCGGTGCGTTCGTCCACGGATCAGGCGACGACGAATTCTACGGGCCTGAGTACTTCATGCGAAAAGACATTGTTTTGGTCGCGATTAATTACAGGCTCGGTGTCTTGGGTAAGTAAGCTGTCATTCGTATCGCCTGCTGTTATCTCGCATTTTATCAACGCTGCAGAAGTGACAGATGAAGTAATAGTAGC